CTGAGCTAGCTGCACCCTCCACAACTAAGACTGAAGGACAACAACTTGGCTGTTCCCCTTCCCCAATTCCCCAGCACTATTCTCCTTCCCCAATTTCCCAATAAAATCTTCAAAAAAAAAAGAGGAGCCCTGGTTAGAATCAAGATTAGACAATTTTTAAAGAAAAAGACAAGAGAATGAAAAAAGGAAGAGGAGTGTGTACAACCCATTTAAACACATTTTCTTTTCATTGCTTATATTTATTCTATATGTGGGGCCAACGGGGCCCTTAGCTCCGTGTAGGTGACATTTGTTAGCAGCACGGCAAGCCCACTTCTGACACATGTACCTCGCAAAGTGGACTCTTTATGTGATACATTCTGATTTGGCCTGCTCTCCGGACTGGTGTACTATAAGTTGAATTACATGAGGTTTACTATAAGTTTAATTACACCATCCTCTGGCATTTTAATTTTTTAATATAAATCAGTTGCATTAGCTAGAACAAAATGGAAGATTTTCACAAGACTCACCAATTCTTTCTTTGACTTCACAAAGGAATTTCAAATGGTTTTGAGATCACACATAAAAATGATGAGAACCATTGCACTTAATGCTGTGCATTTCCTAAACAGATTCTAAAACTCAGAAGGTTTAAGTGGGTGTTCAGTACATTTAATGTTGAAGCAGTGATATAAGTGATTGTGGTGGCACTTGGGTTGATCAAATTGATCATATTTCTTGGATAAGTACCCTTCCTCATGTTTTTACAAAAACACCTGGGTGGAGAGAGAGTGGTTTTCAGTAACCTTTTATATCCATGATCTCACACCAGCCTTACTATTTCTTCCACTACCAGTTAATGTTCAGATTCTTAGGTCCCAGTCCACATCCTCCAGATTCAGTGTTGCTGGGGGTGGGCCCCAAGAATCTGCATTTTTAACAAGCTCTCTCAGGTGGTCCTTATATATACCCAAGAATGACAACCATTTTCTAAAGAAAGAAAGTGTCTCACAAGTAGCAAATATTGGAAGGGGCAGTTTGAGCTGGACCAGTGGTGATCCAGTGCTGTGTGTTCTTTCCACTCCATCATGTAGACTTTCTGAGCCATGCCAACTCAGTAGAACTGTATGACTTGAGAGAAGATGATCAGTACAGAGAGATAAAGCCTTCCCCCACTTGCTTCTAGCATACAAGCACCATGTTACACCTCTCCCGCTGCTCTCACCACACCTCCAGCAGCTCCGAAGGGGAACAGCTGCTGTAACTGGCTGAGGCCACTCCATACAATCCTCAAGTCCATCAGCCCACCAGGAAACAGGGTGGTTTGGAAATATGCTACATCTCTTCAAAGTTAAGAGAATAGGGTACATAAAGCGATACTTGTATGAACTAAACTTTTATTTCAAAGTCTTGGCTTAAAATTCATTGAAATCCCAAACTTCATACTTGTGGAGAAAGTAAAAAATCACTGAGCAGAAATAGTTTCCCATCCTGTGCACAGCCCTTTTTAAAAATGACATAATAAGTCCAAATTTTAATTTTAAAATGTCTAGATTTTAATTAATAGTGAATCATGTGGGAAAGGGAGAATGACGTGCATTTATGAGCATATATTAGAAAGTCTGAATTAATGCACTTTATCCAATTAAAGGTGACCTAAGGAAAGAAAAAAATGGAGAACAGGCCAATGATCAACCACTGGACAGAGAGTGATGTCAGGAGTCCCTGGGCCATCAAAGCTGGAGAGTAGTGATAACCTGCACCTCTCCAGCTTGATTCAGAATGTAGACCTGGACACCTGGTGACATATCAGATCCCTGGAAGAATAGCCTCCAAAAGCTTTACAAGACTATAGGCTGACATTGTCTTAAACACCATGATGTGGGGAGTCTCAGTACATCAGCAAGTCTATCCAATGGAGAGTTTCAGTATACTCACCCCCACATATTTCCATACTTTTGAAAGCATTTCTTGTCAAAATCCCATAAACCCTGCAAGGAGAAACAAAATTAGATTATTAATCTAAATGTACTGAATGCTACCTCTAATTGGGACAAGAATGACTCAAAACTCATGAAATCAGGCTTACTGTCTTAAATGGCAGATAGAGGGAAGCCCTTACTCAGAGGTGTCTTAGGAAATGGAGAGAAAATAAAACAGATATTTGAAAAGGAGAATTTAAAATCACTCTTGAAATTTCTGTGACTTGCATAGATACTGAATGTCTTACTCTTCCATCTCTATGATACTAGGTAACTCCTTGTCTTTCTGAAGCTAGTTTTTGGTGCATGTGTTGTCTCTAAAATCTCATAACCCCCTGAATTATTACCTCCGTGGACACTGATTGCTAAGCTGAGGGAAAGTGAGAGTGGCCTGCACACTCTTTGATCTCCTGGTTAAGCATTATTTTCATTTATCTCATGAGCCCTCTCTACAATTCTAGCAGAATTAGGAAGTTTGAGACACCAGTGATTCTTTTATTCTAGCAGCTTTAAATAAATATAAGAAGTTTATTGAGTGAGAAACGTAGTGAGGGAATGCATGAATAGACTAAGTGGATTTGCTTTCCAGTTTTCCAGTTCAACAAGGAAAAGATGAAGAGATGGCACCACTCCATCAGGACAGAACAAATTAACACACTTGCTTTGAGTTTTCACTTCTGTCACATAAAAAACAAATCATCATATTGCTTTTTCAGCTGTGATATAGGTGTTTAACTGTGCAAAAGAAAGCCCCAGAGATATGGATCTAAGGGAGTATCTATAAGGAGTTGATCTGGGCAAAGTGGAAAGGTAATTATTGCTTTTTCAGAGGGAAAATGTATGGGAAGTTCTTAGACTAATAGAAGCACTGAAGACCTCAGTTAGGAGAATTCGGATCTGAGAAAAAAGTCTCTGGTCTGCATGCAAGGCTCTGCCTTCTGGCCTTATGGGTGTAGATAAGGGCTGGATCAATCACAAAGGCTGCACCAAAATCCACACTCCACATATCAACTAGTATATTTCTTTCAGTTAAATTCAATTTTTAATTATTTTGTCAAATAATCTCCTTTGTATAAGTAATTCTTTTGTTTAAAAAACCCAACCCAACTCATTTAGAGGTTAAATATCTGAAGTCGATAGACAACCCCTATCGTGTCTCAGTTACACCCGCACCCTGCTCAGACTCACCCATAGGGTGCCTCCTCTGAGGGCAGAGAAGTAAATCAGAAAGCTCTTGTTCCAGCTCTCAAGTCCCCCAAAGTTGTCATGGGGAGAAAAGGGTGAGTTAGAGCCATGGACATAATTACAGGGATTTTGCAGTTTTTAGAGAATTCAAGTACGCAAATTACCTGATGGTGAACACTTGAGATGTCTAATACACTGAAGTTTCAAAGGTATCCAGGAGGAAGAAAACAAAAAAAGTACCAGGAGTTTATGCTATGAACAGAAAATTTGACCCTAGTGTATAAATATAATGAGGCACTCCCAGTCACCCCCTTCATGCTTTTCACCTAATACTAAGTACGATTATGCCTTTCTGGGAACCTGCAGCTGGCTGTAAGAAAATCCTTCTCAGGATGCTACAGGTCCTGCGCTGAACCAGCCAGAGAGCTCTGCTGTCTGACTGGGGCAAAACCTGAGGCTCCTAACAGCTGACAACAGAGCCCTGGGGTAAATCTGGCCCGCTGCTGGGTGGGGCATATGACACCCTTTCAAGAAAGTGTGAAACCTCAAACTTCCTCCTGAGGAGGGCATTTGACTATGGAGCTTAGCTGGAATCTGAAGCCATAAAAAGCAAAAGAGGAAGCCTAAACACCACTCACATTACGGTAGCCCACAACAGTTCCAAGAAAAGGCAGAGGTGTTGGCCCAGGGATTCCCAACTTCTTAAAAAGTCCATGTGTAGAGGTCCCATATCTACAAAGTAAAAGAGAAAATCAGGAATTACGGAGTAGGTGCTGGGGCTGGCGAGTCACTGACTGGGAACTGGAGTAGTCAAGCTAGGGAGGTAACATGTAGGTGATAAGTAACATCAGCAATTCCAACAGCAATAATTACATTCACTTGTCATCTCCTTTCTCACTTCCAGTGGGAGACCCACAAAAATAATGATGATCAGCTAAAAGGAGCTGAAAACTTCAGTGCCAACATCCTAGAGTGAATACTTGAGAAATATTTCTAGATTGGAGAGCTCCTGAGAGGTTCAGGCTGGAATTCTTCCAGAAAATTCACTCGCATCTATTTAGTAAGATGACACTTCCATGATTTTGGAAATTCTAATTCTAGGTAGAAAAAGGAAAAAAGTTTTATGGTCTATTGATGAGATTTTGCTTAACTGCATCCATCAATAACTAAGAGTTACTGAGAGCCCACCGAGCCATTGTTCTTAGAGTTTGCTCTATGATTTCTATGCTTTTTCTTTCCTCTGGACCCTGACTATGTTTTAGGATTTGGATCTTCCTATATATATCATCAAAAAGAGGCTTTTGAAAAGCCACAGTGTACTTATTTCTTTAGAATGAAAGCTGTGTTCAAGGCTTCCATTGTCCTTGTAGAAATGTTGTTGCCTTTCAGCTACACCCAAGTCCATGTTATCAGGACATTTGGTGACTTGTGCTCGAGAGAAGAGTGATTGTCCCATGTGTGCCTGAATGAAATGTATAAAGGAACCAATGACTAAATAATCCATTTCCAGACCATTCTTCTCCTGGTGGCATCTGGTTCTCCAGCCTGTGATGGTCACCAACTATGCAGGGCCAGGCTCACACAGTTTGTCAAGATGTCCAGTCACTTGCAGTTAGTTTACTGGCTCTGTGTGTCAGCTGTCTCAAAATCCCATTAAGGCTGGTGCTTCTTATGGCAGACCTGCCTGAAATTGAACTTCCTGTATCATATGTGGAGTCCCACAGCTGGGGGCTCTGGATCCTTGCAGCCTTCCCCCTGTGGTGTTACTGAGAGATGGCAGAGTGGAGGAGGAGGACAGGCTGAGGAAAGAGGCCACTGGCAACTATTTTAACCATGAAGCTACTAGGCCTACAAGGTTAACCCCACAGAGGCAAATTAGGGAATTATGGCTGAAAAGCATGCTCTGCATAATGCAAGCTCTGTATAATATGCTACAAGACTTTCATCTGAAAGATAGTTGGCCTTACAAACTTTGGTACCTTCCTGTTGATAGCAAAAGACGTGTTATACAACATAAAATGAGTAACCTTAAAATGTTCCAGAGTGTCGAATTAAGAACTTCTCTCCTCTTTTGTTTGTGATTACCCTTTAAGAAAGTATAAGTTCCTAAAATTCTGTGCAAATTTAGGTAATCTTATAATATGTGATGAAATAAACCCAAAATTTCATGAAAGGACTTGTGCTGAAGGGCACAATGGAGGCAGTATGGTCAGACCCAGTTGGGTGTTTGGATCCTTCCTCCAGATAGTTGGTAGAAATGTGAGCACTGACTCTCAATAATGGGATACTCTTGGTTCATGCCATCCCAGATTCTATCTCTGCCATCCAAACATGGCAAATCAATCAAACCAGTTTCTGCTTCTGAACTTTCAACATGTTACATAATCTCTCAAGTGAAGATAAGCAATTGAATGAATGTGTCAGCAACATTGATCCCAAGGGAAGATCTAATGTCTAAACTGACATGGTTCCACAACAAGGCAGAGGGTGGGCTGGGGGACACTTTCAGTTTCTTTCCAGCTTCCCTCTTTTTGGTAGAGTAATACTGCTTTCGGTGCAATTGAAGGGGCTAACAATAAAGCCAATCATTTCTATTGCATTGACATTGTGTGGGCGTGAGAGGATACTGTCTACTCTGCAGTCTTCTGACTCTTGGCTGTACCAGTGTTACCTAAGGCTAGAGTGTTGTGTATTCACCGGTGGCCGTAGTGACAGTCCCACAGCCAGACAGACCACACAATGTAACTTAGATGGTGTCTCTCTCCCCAGGCTTCAAGTAGATGAGATGCCTACTCTGCTTGAGTGAGTGAACGAACTCCTATGGAACCAGTACCAGGAGTATCTGGGAGAAATATCCTCCCATTCCATCTAGACTGCTACCTGGATGTGTCTTTTATCATCACTGGCTCATGATCTTGCTTATTCACCTGCACTGTGAATTTAAAATGATAGCATAGGCAGGTATATTTAAAAGCATATATACAATCCATGTCATGGAAGTATCTTTTGTATACTAGACTCATTTACTTACATTATTCTAGAAGGGTAATGTTATTTATACACGGTTGTAGCCACAGATCTTGAATCAACAGCCTTATTTTATCCCTCAGAAAGACAGTGCTGGAAATAGCTTTATCTCAGTAAAAAAAAAAAATTAGCATTAAATAGAATAAAATTAAACATTGTTAATTAATTTAAAAATGTGATCAGACACCAAATATGTTGTCACAATACCCTGCAGTCATAACATTTCACTCAAAGAATAAAACAAACTTTATATATTCATCATGATATCCTACTCTTTATGAAAGTGAAAATGGGAAATAGAGAGGGCCTTCTCTACCCATACCTCAAATATGGGTCCTCTCCCAATCTGCTTCATGATACCAGGAATTCCACCCTTGAAAGGAATTCCTCTGGTAGGTGATTTGATTCATCCTTCTGTATGGCAACTTCAAGGGGAAAAAACTATTTAAATCCAAATTGGTTTGTAGATTTGTGACTTTATAGGCTGTTAGCAGGTTTTATATTGCAGGAACATAAATCACTATACTGATGTTGACCCTCCCAAAGACTGGAAGGAAAAGGCGGAAGAAAAGAATATACCTTCCAGATTTCTGCCAAGTTTTTTCTGACGTAGAGATTTTTCATTTAAAGGTAAATAGTTCTGCCAATTATATAGTGGGGGAATTAGCCCTAGGTGGAGAGTCCAGGGAAAGGAGACAGAAGAAAGGAGAGTCGAGTGTGAATAGAAGTGTGGAACAGTCTCTAACACCTATGAAATCTGGGGTCCACCCTGGTGCTTTGCATAAATGTTCCCAAGAAGTGGGAGGGAGGGGAGCAAGAAACAACTTAGTCACTCAGGCTCTATTCCTGCTATATACATCTCTTGCAGTGGACACATAACTTCAAAAGTAAATGCAATGAGACAAAACCCAAATCCACACCCTTCTGTCTCCAGGATCCCCAGAGCTTGGAGGGGAGTGAGGACCCCACTGCACAGAAGCCAGTTGTTTTTATCTGCGTCTGCTGAACTCTGGTTGATTAGTCTAGATCCATCCAAACTGGCAGTCAATCAGAAGATCATCCTGAGGAGCAAATAATGTCACCAAATCCTCTGTGTTACAGAAATTAAGAGTTGGGGGTTCATGGGGCTGATTCTCCTTCAACAGATTGGAGTAATATCAACAATAACCCCTTCGGTGTTTGTGCACCCAATGTATAGGAAGCTAACCTTTAATTAAATGTTTGATCTTCAAAATAGATAAGGGAAAGGGGGGCCTGATTAGCTCTCCAAGTCCAAGGTTATAGAGGACACAAACCTGGACAGTTACTCACAGATAGAGGAGCACCAGGCTGGTAGCCAGGAGAGCCCAAGTCTCTGTGGAAAAGCTTGGGATGAGGTCCATGGTCACTTTCCTCCAAGATCCTCTATTCTGAGGCTCCCTTTCAGCAGTGTTGCTAGTCTTTGCCAGCGTGTGCGCGCAGAACTCCCTTCCCCGGTGGATATTCAGTGAGACTGGATGTTTATGTGCTGGAAAAGGGGGTGGGGCTTGAGCTACAGCCAGTAGAAGTGCCATCTGTGCTCCAACTGCTGGTGCCCTCTCCACCTTGAAGTTGGCAAGCATCATGGACACTACCACTTTGACAACCCATGAGTTCATGTTCTGTGGGAAATCAATGAACAACTCACTCAGTTTTATCAGCAAGTCCAAAGGTTACTTAAACTCAAGTAAAGCAACTGATCTGAAATCTCTAACCTGCCGTTCACTCAATGGCTGCCTGCACTAAAAAATACTTGAATTCCTTCAAACAAGCTAGGTCTATAGCTCTTTACCCATGCAGTTTCCTCTGCCAAGAAATGTCTGTGTGACCCCTAGAAGGCTCCTACTCATTTTTCAAAACTCAGGTCAGACAAAAACTTCTCTGTTAAAGTCTTTCTTTTCTTTTAATTAAGTTTATTGGGGTGACATTGCTTAGTAAAATTCGATAGGTTTCATGTGTGCAATTCTATAATACATCATCTATATATTTCATTGTGTGTTCACCACCCAGAGAAAGTTCTCCTTCCGTCACCATATATTTAACACCCTTTACCCTCTTCCTACCCCCACACCCCTGTTACCCTCTGGTAACCACTAAACTATTGTCTGTGTCTATGAGTTTTTGGTTTTTTGTCTCGTTCATTTGTTGCTTTCAGTTTTTACATCCCCATTATGAGTGAAGTCATGTGGTCCTCATTTTTTTCTGTCTCACCAGCTATTAGGGAAATGCAAATCAAAACCACATGAAATATCACCTCAACCTGTTAGAATGGCTAGTATTAACAAGACAAGTAATAACAAGTGTTGTTGAGGTTGTCGAGAAAAATGAACTCTCATATACTACTGGTAGGAAAGTAAATTGGCACAGCCACTATGGAAAACAGTATGGAGGTTCCTCAAAAAATTAAGAATGGAATTACTATGTGACCTAGCAATTCCTCTTCTGGGTATCACCCCCCCAAATATGAAAACATTTATCTGTAAAGATAATGTACCCCTATGTCCATAGCAGCATTATTCATGGTGGCCAAGACATGGAACCAACCAAAATATCTTCAATAGATGATTGGATAAAGAAGATATGGTATATATATAATGGAATATTACTCGTCCATAAGGAAATATGAAATACTGCCATTGGCGGCAACATGCATGGATCTTGAGATTATCATGCTAAGTGAAATAAATCAGACAGAAAAAATACAGTCTTTCTAAACCAACCTCCTTGAACACATAAAATCACTGCCTCCTCTGGACAGCTTCTATTCTGTGCACACAATTCTTCTCTTGTCCATTCTACCCTCCAGCACCACTGTTGGTCTTCCCACCAAGTTCCTTTACAGATTGAGAGCTACTCAAGGGCACAGTCTGGGTATTAGTCACCATTATGTCCCTAATCCCTAGCAGAGCACTTTACACAGAGTGGTGGAGTTGAGTTGGTAGAGGTGAGTTTACTGGGTGCCCTGTGAACTCGTTCCCTGTGACTCTTTGGTGACTACACCATCTTCCTGGATTGTTAACACAACAACAAGGCCTGGATGTGCCTCAGCCATCATCACTTCAAATTCAGGCTGATGCATCAAGATTTTGTTGACAAGGGGCCCCTGAAGGAGAGGCAGGATGGAGAGAAGATGGTGATGGCTACACCAAGCTTATCAATTGATGCTGCTTCCTTTCCTGCCCTTAGAGGGTCCTACAGTAGACAGACAGAGAGACTTATGGCCAAACAATGACTCCTTCCCTCTGGAAAGACCACAAGTCTAAGAACAATGCATCTGAAGAGGAGAACAGCATCCTGGATCATCCAGTGGACCCAAAACACCTAAGCCACAGCTGACATAGCAAATGTCACTATGAGTAGTACACACAGTATACAGGACTCCAGAAAGATGACATGAGATGTTTTTCTGAGGTAAAGGGGGTCATAGCAAAGATGGCTTCCTGCTTTAGACTTGAGGGGATTTTTTATTATTTATTTATTATTTTTATTTATTTATTTTTTAATTGTTATTTTCAGGTGTACAGAACAATGCAATAGTTATCTTTTTCACCCTTCACACAGAAACAACCCCTCTCCCCCATCTACTGCCCTCCCACCTCCGATATCATACTTATCTATTACAATTCCATTGACTCCATTCCCACACTCTACTCCATGTTCCGTGACTATATGTGTATATAATTATGTTTGACATATAGTATTATTCAACATCAGTTCAGAAATACAGTGCGGTGGTTAGGCCTCTACACCGACTATGAAATGGTCTCCCTAAGAAGACATGAGTCCATCTGGCCCCCTAAAAAATATTTACACCATTATTGATTATATTCCCCAGACTGTCATTTCTATCCTTGAGGCCATATTGTAGTTACCAATTTGTATTGTCTCGTCCCTTCCCCTTATCCTTCATCCTCACCCCCTCCCAACTAGCAACGCTCAGTTTTCCCCCGTGTCTCTGAGACTATTTCTGTTTACATTTCTCATTTATTCAGTTTTTTACAATCCATGTATAAGTGAGATCATATGATATTTGTCTTTCTCTAACTGACTTATTTCACTTAGCATAATGTTCTCTAGGTCCATCCATATCATTGCGAATGGAACGATTTCCTTCTTCTTTATAGCTGAGTAATCCTCCATTGTGTAAATGTACCATAGTTTCTTAATCCAGTTGTCTACTGATGGGCATTTTGGTTGTTTCAAAGTCTTAGCTATTGTGAATAGCGCTGCAATGAACATAGGGGTGCATATATTTTTTTGAATTAATGTTTGTTTTTTTCTTGATAAATGCCTAAAAGTGGAATTGCTGGGTCATAAGGTAGTTCCATTTCCAGATTTTTGGGATACCTCCATAGTAATTTCCATAGTGGCTACACCAGTCTGCAGTCCCACCAGCAGTGCACCAGGGTTCCCTTTTCCCCACAATCACTCCAGCAATTGTTGTTTGCTGACTTATTGATGATAGCCATTCTGACCGGGGTAAGGTGGTATCTCATTGTGCTTTTTATTTGCATTTCCCTAATACTTAGTGAGGTTGAACATTTTTTCATATGCCTGTTGGCCATCTGTATGTCCTCTTTAGAGAAATGTCTCTTCAT